GAAAAACTCCGGTGTTCAGGATTAATGTCACACCCTCTAGCATGCACGGAAGGTCCATAAGGGCTTCACTACCCACAGTTATTCTCTGAAAGCTCCCATTCCACCAATAACACTTTCTGGAGTTAAGCGATACACGGAGAGAGGAATAGGAAGTGTGGTCTAGACGAAAGAGGAACCAAACACTTCTCTGGTAGAACAAGGTAGCTGGTGAGGCAGAGAGAAGCAGGAAGAGGATGTGCCAGATGACAGGGGGAGGGCAAACGAGAAGCCTGGACCAGAGTGGGGGAAAGCAGCAGGTGAGGATGCCTTCCAAGATGGTAGCAGGAGAAAGCTTCACTAAAAAAAGAAAAAACTCATACTCATTGGGATGGCAACGATTAAAAAAAAACAACCCACTAAACTAAACAAGAAAATAACAAGTAATTTGGGATGTGGCGAAAATGGAACCTTTGCGCACTGCTGGTGGGAATGTAAAATGGCATAACTGCTATGGACATGGCATGATGGTTCTCTGAACTACCATGTGATCCAGCAGTTCCACTTCTGGCTGTATACCCAAAAGAATTAAAAACAGAGACTCGCAGAGATATTTGTACATCCGTATTCATAGCAATATTTTTCACAGTAGCCAAAAGGTTGAAGCAACCCATGTGTCCATTGACAGACAAATAGAACAAAATGTAGTACAACCAGACAATGGAATATTACTCTGCCTTAAAAATGAAGGAAATCTTGATACATGTTGCAACATTAAGGAAACTTAAGGATATCATGCTGTGAAATAAACCAGTCAAAGAAGGACAAATACAGTATCATATGAGGTACCTACAGGAGTCAAATTCATAGAGAAAGTATCAATAGCATGGTGGTTGCCAGGAACTGGGGGGAGGGGGAGATGGAGAGAGAGTTTCCATATGGGAGGATGAAAAGAGTTCTGTAAACAGATGCTGGTGATGGTTGCACAGCCAGGTGAATGTACTTAATACCTCTAAACTGTACGCTTAAAAATGTTTAAGATAGTCAATTTATGTTATATATATATTACCACAATTGAAAAAAAATTTGTTTTTAAAAGGGAGATAATATCAGGAAAACGCCTCATGGGCAAATAAATACCAGGTATTTCTGTGTAAACCTTCTGAATGAAGATCATTCTGATGCTTGTTTGGCTTCTTGAAAAATAAAATAAAAATTACAGAAACTTAAAACAGTCCTTCTGGAAGCTGAGCTCATAAATATAGGAGTCCAGGATCCGAAGACAAAAGTCTGGGATATTTTGCATGTGAGAAACAGGTTGGAACTGCCCTTTGACAGAAAATATCATCCTCGTGTGCACATGGGCAGGCACAGCCTACAAAGATTCAGAAAGAACTCTTGTCCCCTCCTCCCATCTGACTTTTCATGGGGCTGCAAGAACAGGAACGGTGAAGACTCGTTTTCCTTCTCCCAAGTCTGTGAGATTGTCCCTAAAATCCTCTTCCCACGGACCACCAAAGTCTCCTGAGCCCAGAGATGCGGTAGCTGTTCAGAAGAAGTTTCAGAGAGAAAAGAGAGTCTAAAGAAAGCACAGCCCATGAAAAACAAGGTTGAATTAGGGCTTCCTTCTGAAACCACCAACGTAAATCCGTTTTAGCCCTTTTATTTTTATTGACCACACAGAGGTCTTTATGCACAAGGTGTAGGCTGAAGACCTCGGTATGGATTATGTTTTCATTGTTGCTTTTGTTCTGTTCTGTTTTGTTGAGTTTTCTTCAGGTAGGAACTTTGAATTTTTACACTCAAGATGAATAAACCCTACTGCCGCTCTGGGCGCGCATTTCTGCACAGAAGGAAGGCTCTGCTGGAGGCCCCTGATTCAGCAGCAAGTCCTGCTGGGCTGTGTGTTGGCCTGGGTTTTTGGAGAGGGGCGTGGCTGCCCAAGAATTCACAAAAGCATGCCGAAAAGACAATTGAAAATAAAAGTTAAATTTATGTTTCTAGAGAGATTAAGGCAGGGAGTCATCTAGACGGGGAAAAAATATTCCCAGTCTGGGGCTAAGTCTTAGGAAATGGAGAACTCAGTCTCTGATGGGACGCCCTATTGTACAATCCAGTGATTTTCAATTAAGGGTCCACGAGGTTGTGAAAGCTCTTTTTCATATTTCAAACAGCCTATTGGCGATGGAATGTCTGCCCAAGACATGGCCACGTGGGCTAAATGAAAAGTCAAGTTGTTTCGTGTTTAAGCTGGCAGTCCGTCAAGTTAGTGTGGTAACACTGGTGGTTCTGGCCCAGATCAGAAACTCTGACTGGTCATTGATGAGGTCAAGGGCATTTCTTTTTTTTTAATTTTCAATTATTTCTCTCTTTTTTGGCTGCGGCGTGTGGCGTGTGGGATCTTAGTTCAGTTCCCCGACCAGGGATCGAACCCCTGCCCCCTGCAGTGGAAGCGCAGAGCCTTAACCATCCTGACCGCCAGGGAAGTCCCGAGGTCAAGGGCATTTCTGGAATGAGATTTTTTTCCTTCCCATTCTGTTGTACGTCTTCAGTTAATAAAAATGAAATTACAGCTGGATTATTGTTAATTGCAGCTTGGCAGGCAAAATCTTGCAGAACCTGGCTCACCAAAGGAAAAAATAAGAGGGATCCCTGGCGGTGAATATTTGGGAACCACTTTTGATCCGCCCCTTCCCCTCCCCCGGACATACACAATTCCAAGGGAATAAACAGGCTTCCCTGGAGCCAGAGTGGAACATGCCTATTGCGTGAGAAAACTCAAAGAGAGACAGTGTAAATTAACTGCATCTGGTTAGATGGAGCGAGTAGGGGGAGGAGATAATTAGTTGGCGTTATAGGAACAAGGGCAAAGAAGAGAGTTACATATTTACTCAGAGGAAATCCAAAACAGACTACTTAGCACCCGTTTGGTGCTCATGGGTCATCTCAACATCTCTAAGCCGGCAGGTGTTGAACCCAGGGACCAGAGGCACCGCTCAAGCCCTGGAGGACACAACACACCCATCCCACCTCCGGCAAATGGAACCCTGCCTTCAATCCCCTTTCCCTTCCACAAATGAAGGGAAGAAGGCAAAGGAATGCCCAAAAGACAGGAGCAAGAAGCAAGATTCCGGTGAAGAAACAAGCAGTGTCTTCAAACAAGATCCCTACAACGAGGAAGCCGAACCAACGCATCTGTTTATAATAAGATGAGTTCTCTAAAAATTTGATCCGGGTCAATTTATAGCACCCTTTGGTATGTATGTTTCCATGTGCAGATGCACAACATTTCGGAAGTAACACATATTTCAAGTGATGCAGAGACATCGCTGGGCTGTTTTATGGTGCACAGGCTAGTAAAAATAAATGCCACGGTCACATAAAGCTCCTTAAGACGCAGCTAAAATACAATTTCCACCTTCCCAGAAGAATTTAAAGCATTCTAGCACAAACAATGAAGGTACACAACCTGAGAAGCTTTCCTCTCCATAGATGCCAAAAACCTACGTACATGAACGTGTGTATTATGTATAGCATGTTCGGCTCTCTCCCCGAGTTCAGGTTCTACATAGTTTCTGAGAGAAAGAACTGCTACTAGGTGCAGAGCCTTCAGGATGTGTGCTTATGAGATGTGAGGTGCAGGTTAGCATTTACGGGTTTGTAAACATTTCTAAAGCTGGTTTACGGGTTGTTGATTACAAGAAAAGATGTAACAACCATGAGGTTAGAGTACCCTCTTGAAAGAGGAGCTAAAGTGAGTTAAAAAAAAAAAAAGACTAGATGAAGATTAGTGAGCTCAGTGGACACGCTGGAAAGGACGGCATCCGTGTCTAGGCTGCCCTCATGGGCTCCATATTCCCCAGGGGATCCAAGTGCATCCTAGGAAGTTGGGAAATCATGTCAAGTGTGATCACATAAATTGGGACAGAGAGTGCTGGGAGGAAAAGTTTGTGGCAGTGAGAGGATCACAGGCCAGAAGTAAGGACAGCTGTGTTCTAGGGCCAACTCTGCTCCAACCAGCTGGGCAACCGCGGGCAAGTCGTGTCCCTGTTCCCGAGTTCAGTCTTTTCACCGATCAAATGAGAAAGACAGCTGGCCCCCAAGAGTTCTTACAACTCATTAATTTTAAGCTTCTGTGCGCTTTCAGAAAAACTAAAAAAATTCCAGAGCTCCCTAAACTGACGTCACCTGGACCCCCTAAGAGCGGCAGCATATACATCCAGCAAACATTCTCTATTTGTCTATCATCATCCTGCAAAGATCTCCGAGAATACTGCAAAACTGCCATGGATATTTTAGCTACCTTCTGAAACCTACAGCAACAGGTCATACCCTCCAGGTATACCCTTCACGATACTATTGAACAGAGATGTTGAGTGCTTTGTCCAAGGTCAGAAGCTAGGACAGGATCAGAATTCCAGCCTCTTCATTCCTAGGGTTATGCTATACTTTCCACGAAGAAAGCAAGCTGGCTTTCTGGGAAGAATGCCAGAGGTTCCATTCTCCCAACTGAGAATTCATTGGAATATTGGAATAACAACTTTGGAGACTGTGGTCTCTCCAATCCATTTCAGGACCTGTCTAGAAACACAAAAACCCAGAGAAAGAAGCAAGAGGGAATTATTCCGTTTTTTAACGAAAGAGAAAAAAATTAGGGGTGGGAATATGGGATTTCTTAAAAATTACATGATTGCTGGAAGTTAAATTGGTATTCCTTCATTGGTTTGTAAGTTCTGTTTCCAATCACAAAAACATACAGCTGAGGATGCCGAAATCACATTTCAATGAATTAGCATCTTGTCCCAAAGAATCTTTCCCATTCTGAACAAAACATAGAACCCAGAATGCAACCCTCTATGGTAGAAAGGAATCTCCCTCAGTGCAACAGAGAGCTTGTCATCATCCTCTAAACCATAATCTAATTTGACAGTCTTCAAGCCCAACAGCACAATCACGGAGAATGATAAGAAAGTTACTGCGTAACTTGGGATATACTGCCTCTTCTAGGAAACTGATTGAGACCCTATCCTGCCAGATGGGAGAGATGTCATCCTTTACCATCTTTTACCATCCACACACGCCTTATTAGGCTTAAGTCAGTGCACCTGGAAAATAATCCCATCATAGATTTAGAGACATATGTTCAAAAAGGAAGGTTCTGACTTCTTCCAAGAAAGGCCAACCAAAACAAGAAAACACATGTTGGACCAGCTCCAAGCCTTGAAGATAAAATGAAACCAACCTTACGGCAAAGCCCAGTGATCCACACTCAGAGTTGAGATTCTAAAGGAAAGAAACCAGAAACAGTTTTTTTTAAATCACTTTTTCCCCCTACCTGTCGATGATGACAGGGTCTGAAGGAGTCTCATTTCGGTTGCCACAACTTTTCTTTTCGCAACATCGACTGTAGATTGGGGAGGGGCCAAAAGAGTAAGAGAAATGCGTTAAAATCAGGAAAACACAATGAGCATACAATGTAAGAACATTCACAAAAACGGGTACGTCCTAGGGAACTGCTCAACTATCAGCTGCTTAAGCATGAATGTATGGCCATGTTCGAAAGCAACGCTAAACTTGAAACCCAGACTCTTCATTCAAATTCTGCCTCTACGACTTATAAACTGGGTCATTCTCAGAAAATCACAACTTTTCTGAGAGCTATATTTATAATTTGAATGATGGACAATTGGATTTTAAGATCCAGAACGTCACCTCCAGCTCCGTGATGAATGATTTTATTATTGTATTTCTTATCATATATTTTTAGATCTTTGTGTCTTAACAAATACTTGAAGGAACAGGGGAGAGCAAAATGTATGAAAAAGACCCCAAGTAGCTGCCTGGATTACTATAAACCTTAGTTATATAATATCTTTCTTCAGAGAACTCAGTGTACTTTGTAACCATTTATTCATTCATTCATTTCCATTATTTTCTAAAGATGAAGAAAGAAGACAGGAACTATGGTGTGCCTTGTCAAATAGGGGAAAAAATGAGGCAGAGAGATGTAAAGTGATATCTCCAATAATTTTCAGCAAGTCCAGAACAGAAATGGGACTCGGCACGGAAGCCCCATCCTGCAAACTCTGCGTCCCAAGACTTCCACTGGCAAAGTGCTGGGTTTCAGGTAGATACCCACGAAATGCTTATGGAATCATCTGAGAGGAAGAGAGAAAGAGGGGGCCCTAGAGCAAATACAACAGATGGGAAGGGCTCCGTAGGACCTAAAGAGAACAAATATGAAAAGGGCAAGGGAGGCTGGGTGGCCGGAAGCACTGGAAAATCACATCCCTGTGTTGCCTGTCTGCTGCTTGTCAGGACCACAAGACTTCTAAATACCTCTCGGCTCCTCCAAGCATGTAGTCCACCATGAATAGGAGCTGGTGAAGGATGTAGCCTTGACATGGCTTATAAGAAAAGCATTATCATCCACACCAGTTGGAGAATATGTGTCATAAATGTTAGCAATAACCAAATTTATGTAAGTGTTGCCCTTCCCGTGATAGTTTCTGTACAGTTTAAGATCGATGCAGCACGATAGAAGGACCGGTAAAGTGGGAATTGGGGCTCTGGCGTCTAACCCAACTTTGTCACTAACCAGTTGCATGGATTTAGTCAAATCTCTTTTGCCCCGCTGGGATTTGCCTTGCTTATCTATAAAATTAAAGTGTTGGACTAGATTACCTCCAGAGTCTCTTTTAGGTTTGAGAAGGGCACAGGCTATGAGATTCCCTGAGCATCCTTTGATTCGACAGTGGTGACAGATTAGGGAAAAGACAAAGTCACTGTGGCAGCAGGGACCCAAAGGCCTAACACCATCCCAGTCTTAGATTTGCTTTCTGGTTCTGCGCAGTGCGCTTGCCCTCTCTGATCCTCTACAGAATTACCAACAAACAGACAGATATTTTTTAAAAATTTTAAGTCCATCTCTCTCATGCAGGGATGTGTGGATTATTCAGTGAACGATTCTACCATTCTCAAAAAGTTAAAAATCCTTGAGAGATGCTAAAAAAAACTTTCAGCCAATGGGCACAATGAGGTTGTAAGACATTTAATCAAGTTAGTAAGAAGTAAAAGAAAAATTGTCTCAAGTTTTTTAAATACCAGAGTTCGCCACTGGGACGCGGAAATAAGTTTGCGTTTGAAATTATATTAGGTCTTAACTTTTAAAATTTCCATCTCAAGATTAACACCAATAAAAATTCTGACCGGCTGCTCTCCCAGAACCTTTGTCTCTCTTCCCAACTCCCTACCCCACCCGTTGCTCCTGCCGCCACCATCCCTGTCTCCCCGCTCTCCTGTTTCTATTGCTTAAGTCAGCAGAATAATACCTTGGCAACTCAGGCAAACCTTTTTTCTTAGCAAGACAATTTCAAAAAGCCCTATACATGCTAGTTATCTGAAGACCTTCTAACTAGACTCCTCTTTGACATCACCAGCATGTCAACCTAACCCAAATCTGTGTGCGATTCTAAGTACAATTTAATTACAAGAGAGCACTCTCAGGATGTGGCAATCTATTTAGCTTGAGAAGGAATGATTCTAAGGAGGCCGAGTAAGTTTGCAAAATTGCTCAGCTGAATTCAGCTGCTTTCCATGGGGACTTTCTCTGGAGGAAAAGAAAAACAGATAAAAATGTAAGCCTGGTGCCAGTGTAATACAATGTGGGGAATCAACTCAGGGAAGGAAATGATACTCCAAGAAAAATGCAGAGAAACTTTGGGACCCAATCTTCCATTTTCCAACAGTAACATATTTAAGTATAATCTTTAACTTTAACACCCAGAAAAGATGTAGCAGACACTTGACTGTCGGACTATAATAGTGAAGGAATAAAAATTATAGGAGTGGACTGTATTCACCCCATCTGAGCTCTTCGTAAAATTTCTCTTGGTTAGCCAAAGCTAATTCTTTTTTTCTTTCTTTCTTTCTATTTTAAAAAGAAAGGTCTCATCAAGATGTCCTAGTTATTCTTTATTTCATTTCTTAAATGACATTCCGTCCTCAAGCCAGCAATAGTAACATAAGCAAAGGGAAATGGAGAGTAGAAGACATTCATGAACCCACATTCCCCAAACAATCGCTCTGGGATCAGGATGTGGGGAGGTGACATGAAGAACCGGGTCCCTGAATTACTCAGATAATAAGCTCAAATCGCCCTTCCTTTGCTATAGAGACAAAGCCTGAGTGACCAACTTCAGGTTCAGCTACTTTCGTGAAAAGGCTTTTTAGGGTTATTTTCTATCAAGCCATTCTCCAAGTCTGAAAGTATTTTTAAAACCTGAACAAGACGAAAAAATAGGAAAAGATGGGAAACAAAGAAAGAGAAGAGGCAACTGAATTTGGCACTAGGTTAAGGTTGTGTCCCTAACTACCACGGGGAGGCTCAGAAGTACTCTTTTTTTCCTAATGAATGAAAATGAAAGCTCTTCATTTGGCTTGGTTTGACATATTTTATTCTGGTCCTTATTTGGAGAACCTTTTACCTGAAATACTCTCAGTTTGCTTACAGGCCTCTTCCACCCTCCCTGTCTCCTCGTGGGGGTCTTTGGAGAGGGAAAGAGAAAAAAAGCAAGCCAGTTGGGGATGGGAGGTGGGAAATATGAGAAATTTTCTCCCAATCCTGAATCTTACCTGCACTTTTCAGAAAGGGATCAAGATGGGGGATATGCAAAGGAAAAAAGCCCCAGCCCTGGACACAGGGTGTCCAGTCAGCCAAACTCCTGCTCGAGACCAGCCAGTGTGCCCTTTCCCCTCGAAAATCGTTTTTAAAATTCAACCCTCAACTTTCAAAAATCTGTCTCTAATTTCAAACTCAAATAAGCACACAGCATGGTGGCTTTTGTTTTGTTTTCTTCTCCCCAACTCCTCCCTGCGATTGCATAACAAAAGTGTCTAAATTCACACCATCTGGCCGATAAAGACACTGGCCTCACTGCCCGGCTGGCCCATCTGATTAGGGCCCCGTCTAGCCTGCGCCTTGTGGCGAAAAGTCACAGCTGTGGGGTTTGCTCGCGCTCAATACAACTCTGTTATTAGCCAGCTGTAGGCCTTGAGACGACTTCTGTTCAAATTATAATATCTTTTAACCCTCTGAGCATTGAGGGCACAGGGGTGGCTGGCAGCGACATAACAACTAGACTTCTCCTTGCTAATAAACGGCAAAATGAACTAAAGCAGGGAAGAGGGGAGAGGAGACCATTGGGGAAAGGAGAGAAAAGTTATACCTAAAAGAGATTTATTTTGTTGCCGCCTAAAAGCTAAACACCAGTTTATGAGCTTTTTTTTTTTTTTTTACTAAAGATTACAGAACACAAAACCATTCAGGAAAATTCCCAGGTATGCCCAAGAACACCTTGCAAATGAAACTAAGTGTGTGCAATACCCACTGAGAAACAGAGCATCTGATTCATCCCTTAATCACTGACTGTGATAACTGACTCTTAAAATGTGAGAGAAGGAACTTTTTTCCCTGAAAAAAGTCAACCAGCTCTGACTGACAGATTGAATGGGAACTTCCCTTTTAGATGCATCCAATACTTGCATCACCCCAGCTCTCCCCCAAAACACACACACACACACACACACACACACACACACACTACAGACACAGTACCCATCCCATGGATCATTTATTTACCCACAGTTAATATTTGTTTTAAATTCTAGTTTGGGAAGAAAATAGCAGAGCGTCTTCCCACATCTCAAATGCAGAAAAGTTACAGTACATTAAATTTTTATATTGTATTACTAATGCAGACTAAACTAGAGGCTTTAAAAATTGATGCTGCTACTTAAACAGCATAAAATGAGGAGGATTTGATTGGGCTTAAAAAATAAAAATGTCAGCCTTAACTACAGCTGGATAGGGCATGCAAGTATTATTTAAAGTGATAGGTATAATTCGTCAGACAATGGGCCAGATTTAGGTTTTGTTTTCTTTTCTTTTAAGAAGATAATCTCTCCAAACAAAGACATTTAAAAGTAGAAAGAAGAATTAAAAAAAAAAACCTGCCTTTCACTTAGCCAACCAAATAAAAGTGTTCTATTTAACCTAGGTACTACATGCAAGTTCATCTTGGAATTGTATTTTCTTTCTGAATGTACTTATCAAGGGGCCCTGGGATAACGAAGTAGCCATTTGCTTACCCCATTGTCCCACACCTCACCCAGCTACTCAGGAGAGGAAGCCTCGAGTCCCCTCAGCTGAGGCCACTGGCAGAGTTGAACTTTGCAGTTGGCAAAGTTTGTTTTTCTAATACTTGGTCAAAACCAAAACAAACATGTCTGATTGTTATGGTTTCTTCCTGACTGCATGAGGAGGGAGACAGGGCTGCCGGGAGCTGCCCATAAAACAGTCCAAACTAAATCAGACTGCCTGCAATTACCCAAAGTCTGGAGTTGGAAGACATTCACTGAAGCAACAGTGGAGTAAGGAAGAATTGAGGCTTTCTCTCCAATCAGAGATTTTGGAGGAAGAAAAATGTGCATGGAATAGCATTTAAATTTTTATAATAAAATAACCACCTCTTCCCAGAGTTTCCTTTCTATAGCTTTTCTCCTTTGCTGTGGGATTCCCCCATAACCAGCACATATCAGACACTCAATAAACATTTATTGAAAGAATGAATAAATGTACGGGTTAATTTTTTTTTTAATTTTCTTCTGCTCCAGCAGAAGAAAGGACTCGAAATGGATGGGTCTCAGAAGAGAAGATGGGAAAAGGTGCAGGAATTCGACTTAGACTGCACCTTTCACAACTTGGCCCTCAGAATCCAGCTGTCGCTCCAGACCTCGTACCTCCCCGGTTGGGGTCCTCTCCCCCACTTCCTCCCATCCACAGGTGGTGAACCCGACTGGTCTTTCTAGCCGGTAGTTCCTCCTGACCTAAGAAACTCCCGTGGCTCGGGAAATCTAGGAAAAGCAACTTCCCTGGAGGAAGAAAACGCTTCTGCGGCACAGACAGGTGCCTCAGCTGGGGGGGCAAGGGGTAGCGCCCCCAAAGCGGGCCGTTCCATCCCCTGCGGTGGTCGCCCGCCCAGACTGCCAGTCGTTCCAGGACCTTGACTCGGTAACTCCACAAGTGGCCCCTCCTGTGCATCTACCCCTAGCGGGTCGGACCGGCGGGCCTAGGACCGCGACCGACTCAGGGAAAGCCCCCGATCCCAAACTTGACCCGCGGCTGCCCAGCCCCTCCCCGCGCTGCCGCCGACCGCTGGACAGCGGACCTTCCACGGAGCACAGGAAACTCCTGAGACGCCTGGGGGTGGAATCCTGAGTGGTTCTGGGTTTCCTGTTCGACTCCCAACCGATTTGCTCTTAGAATCTGTCTTTTAAGGAGGCAAGCCCGAGCGAGGCCGCCCGCTCCGCGCGCCAGCGCTCGCGAAGGTCAGCGCCCGAGACGCATGCGAGCCAGCGCGCCGGGCGCAGCTCACCTGCCCCGCGCTCCGGCAAAGCCTGCAGGAAAACACGGCTCTTACCTGCACATCACTTCGTGTGTCAGGAGAACTCGGCACATTTCCGGATTCTTATTTTGTCCCTCGTAAGCTATGGGCTGCGAAGGAGGCGGGGGCAGGGTGGGGAGATACGAGGGAGTGGAGGGACAAAGAAAAGGGGACTTAAGAGCAAGCACAAAATCAGGTTTCCTCTCTCTGCCCGCTACTTCCTCGGGAGCGCCCGCTGGCAGCACAGAACCTGAGCTGTGGCCTGGTTAACTCGAGCGAAATAGTAAGAGAAAAGTTTGCCCTGGTGAGGACTTATTTCTTGCAAAAGGGAATATTTGGGGGGGGGGACTGAATCTCCCAATAATTGTTTCCCCTCTTCATCCCTTTGCTCACCTACTCCCATCTCCAGAGTCTCCCCAGACAGAAAGACAGGACAATTGGGGAGTGAGAGGGAACATTTATTTTTCCAGAGCAGACAAAGTGTGGGTTTCTGTGGAGGGGCTGTGAAGACTGACCCAGGAAATCGCGGAGGGTAGGGGGAGGTCAGAGACAGGCCAGAGGGGGGAGGGGGCAGGACGGAGGGCCCCACCCCCCACCCCCGCGAGAGGAGGGGACAGCCGGGCTCACCTGCTTGGTGACCGAGTCGATGAGTCTTACGTACAGGTCCTGCTCCGTGCGGACACCTGCCAGGGAGGCAGGAGGGCGCGAGGTGAGGGCCGCGGAGCCCCGCCCGGGCATCCCAAACCTGTCCCGCCGTGGGGCCCGGGCCCGAGCGCAGGCGGAGCCGTCCTGGGGGCAAACACCACCCGCCCGCCCCCGCCCCCGGCCCTGAGCGAGCCTCCCGCAGCCCTGCTCTCCCCAGGCCTGGAGCCCGCCTGCCGGTGACCGCGACAAGGTCAACTGCCTTCCTTGAAAAGAGGAACAAGCGGGCGCCGCGGGCACTCAGGGCGCTCACCGTTGCTGTAGAGGAGCTGTAACTTGTAGTGGGTGCCATTGTTGGTCTTCTCGTTGCCTTGTTCCTGAAAAGACAGAGTCCCTTGCTTTCCAGACCCCGAAAAGGAGAGAGAGGGGCCTTCCCTAACCCACTTCCCACTGCCTTTCTCCCAGTCACCGGGCAGCTTTGAACAGCCCCCTGCCCAGGTCCGGGTCAAAGGGCAGGAGCATCTGCCGCTGTCCAAGCTCCAAAACTTTCCAAGGCTGGCGGTCACTTGACCTTCTCCAACCGTCTGTCCCTCCCCCTTCAAAATGCCCTCAGAAGCGCGACTCCGGAGCTGGGGCCACCGGACACTATGTCCAGGCTGCCTTTAAACAGGCCCCCCCCAACCTGTCGGGTTCTGCCTGTCCTGCAGAAAGGTGAAGGGACCTGTCACTTGGAAGAGCAGCATTTGGCCCTGTCCCACCAGGACCGCAGCCTTGGAGCCACTAGCTCAGGGACCCAGGTCCGGGTTCAAGAAGAACCTTGGGAAGAGCCGGCTCCAAAGCTTGAACGGTGCAGCTGAAGAGACGGAGGCCCAGAGAGCAAGAGACTTTCCTTTCCTCCCACATCACCTTCGTTTGAGATAAAATCCAGCGCCCATACCGGGGCCTGGGCAGAGGCAGACACTGCCTTGGGAACCAGAGTGGAAGAGAAGGCTGGGGGTGGAGGGGCAAGGCTGGGCTATGGGTTTCAACCTTGTACCTATGTAACCCACCCTGCCGCGCTGGCAGGTGCAAAATAATAATAATAATAATAATAAATAACCCGGAGAAGGGCACTGGCGGCTTTGAGTATACGTTTAAACTATGCTCTAGTTGGAAGGACTTTGCTCCGCCGTCAGTCCGTGCCCAGGCTCTGCTAATGATCCAGAAGCCGGGTGCGCAGAGCCACAAGCGCTGCTGCAGCGGGAGGTGCGGGCGGAGAGTTGCCGGCGGGAGAAGCTGCGGGGAAATCGACTGATTTAAGGGCTAGGGGTGAGAAGCCTCGATTTATCATCCCTGCTGATGTGAGCGGAAAAGTGTCGGGAGTGACAGATGGGATCTTTAGTGCTTTGCAAGGAGGTAGTTATTAGGCCGCGAGGGGAAGAGGGGGACCTCCGCTTACTTTGTCGTTCTCCACAAAGTCTACGAAGGCGGTGCGCTCTATCTCCACCGGCTGCCCCTGCCTGTCGTAGAGCGCCAGGACGAAGTGAAAGAAGTTGGATTTCCTCAAGTTGGAAGGAGGCTGCTTCTCAAAGTGGGCCCGGGAGAGGGCTACTCCGCTGCGCACGAAGAGACACGGGGGACACCAGACACGGGGAAGGAGAGAAAGACACGAAGTTACCAACGCGCCCACGCAACATCTCAGAGGGTCAAGGGTCCATGTCCCGGTCCAGGCTTCTGAACCCCTCGGGCGCTTTTTTCTATTAGGATTAAGAAGCGGGAACTCCTTAGAGGAGTCACAGTGGCCACGGGGGTCGGGTAGCAGGGCCCACGACTCTGGACTTTGCCACCGCCAGCCGTTCCAGCCTCCGGGCATCTCATGCCCAGTAGCTCAATGTCCGGCCTTTAGTGGAGACCAAGGAATCGCGACAGCAGGCCGAAGCCCGGAGGGTTCCCCCGAGACGGCGGCCCAAGTCTTGTCGTTGTGCTGCCCCAATCTTCTTCCTCTTCCCGCCGCCGACCGGGTCAGGATTCGGAGCTGGGCCCGAGGGGTAGGGGACTAAGCGCCTCGTTATTTTTGAACAAGTGACCCTTTTCCTTCATCTTCATTGGAGTGACCTGTCCTGGCACTACTGCCCACAACGCACCACCCCCCAAGCTATCTCGGAGAGGCGGTAGGAGAGAACCCCCTGGGGGCGGATGGGAAGCCCAGAGGCCAAGTCTCGGTCCTACAGGGAGAGGCCTCACCTCCTGCTTCCCTCGCTCTTCCGAAAAGTTGCGCCTGGGACAGTGGCAGGGCAGAATCCCCCTCGACCAGTACTAGTGATCGAGGACCACCGCGGGCGACATAATACTGAGGACCCCTCCCCTAGAAGCCGAAAAGTTGAGGCAGAGCGCGTCCTCGCCTGGGGCCGAGAGTCTCCCCGCTCTAGCCGCATCTCTGGGCGGCGCCGGACAAACGCGCTGACCGCGAAAGCCGTGTTGGAGGACCCGGCAGGCGCCCTGAAGCGTGTTGAGTATGTGCACACACCTCCCTGCCGACCTGTCGCGGCCGGGAACAAACTGGCCGCCAGATCACATTTAACGGGAGACTCGGGGTCCAGGCAAGCAAGCAGATGGACGGAGCTGCTCCGGGGCGCTGGGGTCGCGGGGCGTCCTGCCCCAGGACGCGAGCACTCTCCCTCTTTTGAAGGGTGTAAAATTTTGACTAGACTCCCCCAACGGACAGCCTGTTCCAACTTTAACAATTACTGGATCTGGGAAAGGAGGAAAGTAGGGGAGGTGTCTTTCAGGAGCTCGGCTAGGGAACTGCGCCGTGGAGACCGGTCTGCGGCGCTGCCTGGTTTCCCTCAGCCTGCAGCCCAGCGAGTCCCCAGACGGCCGCGGAAAGCCGCCGCCACGGCGTGCCATCTGCTGAAGGACACTGGCGCCCCCCGGGCTCGGGCAGGAGGGAGGGAGCCGCCGCCTGCCCCGGTCTCCTGAGCGATGCGACTTTTGCTTCCTCTCCTCCAAGGGTGGCGGCCCGGTTCGCTCTACCCGGGACACCTAGAGTCCTGGCCTGGAAAGGAGTAATTTCTCTGCGTGATGTCGGGACTGCGAGGGGCATGGCCAGGAGAGTGGATAGAGAGGCGTCAGCGCTGGGTAGAAGTCTTGGGGGTAAGGGGGCTGTCTCTCGCAGACAAGGTCGTGGAGATCACAAACCTCAGCGCAATAGTGGTGGTGAGGGAGGGGAAGCGGAATGTCTTCATGGGGTGGCAGCCTAGACAAGGCGTTTACTACGTCAGCAGGAGAATGCTCACAAACAAAGTCAACTTCAGGGACCAGCAAAACTAGAGGCTTGTGATCCCTGCGTTTGCGGTGCGTCTCCTTTCTTCCGTGACTCTTTCTACTGTTACTCGTTCGTCTTTTCTCTTTAAGTCTCTCCTCTACCCTCAGCCCCGCCTCTGTGCATCTAGTCCACTGTTTTCTCTCTGCACCCGTACCCTCCAGCCTGCCCTCCTCCCAGGGCACCCGGCCGCTCTGCCTTCCCAGGCAGGCGCTCCGGCCTCTCCTGCTCCTCTAGCCACCATCTGGCCTTGGGCTCTCGGCCTCCAAGAATCGGCCGGCAAGATGCGGGAGGAGAGGCGCTCGTAAGCAGCTGGGCGAAACCCGGGAGTCGCCGGGAAGCCGGCTCTCCTCCAGCGGCCGCCGCTGCCGGCTCCGGTCCTCACGCTCTGCTCCTGGCTGGGCCCGCCTCGCAGAACTAGGGGCTGAGCTAAGAGGCATCAGATACTACTTTGTTATTTTTCCTCCCAAAGAGTAGTCTGTGGGGAAGGAGTGGGGCATACAGGCAGTTCAGAAACTCGAGTGTTGGCTGCGGGATAAGTGTTCCCCTAACTGCAGCGATCTGCCTGCCGGAGGGCGAGCCCTAGCGCGCGGGGCCAGGGCGACAGATGCGGGGGAGAGAGAGCGAGCGCGAGCAGCGACGGGGGTGACACACACACACACAGAGAAAGACAGTGAGAGAGAGGGAGCGAACAAGCGAGAGATTGCGAGCATAATCATTGTGCAGCCGTCTCGTTACCTCTGCGCAGCGACACTGGCGTCCACCACGCCGACATTCCGGACCCAGGACCTGACCGAATCCATCTCGGCGCCCAGCGATTTCTCTTTCAGAGCTGGTCCTCTTCCTAAAGTATCTTGGATCCCAAACATTTAAAAAGTCTGATCTACCGTCGCTTTAAAAATGAGTTACAACGCTGTCCTCACTGTTCCCAACGTTGTCACCAAACCGTCTCCTCCAAAGCAATCCAGGAAAAGGGATCAAGTGCCGAAGTTTGAGTCTCTCTGGTGAAAAAAAAATTTAAAAAGATAACCCGTCCTTTGCTTCCACGCGTGAGGTGCGGACTGATGTAGTTAAAGTTTGGGTTATATCCTCCTCAAGTTCAGATCTGCCGCCTCAGGCCCTCCGCCCTAGGTCTCTCGCATCCTTCCAGTGGCAGCGCTGCCTCAAGAAAGTGATCACAATTTTGAAGCATCACCTGTTCTGGGAGAAACAGGAGGAGATTGATGGCTGCCTAATCTCTCCCCTTCCTCCTGGTCCCCCACCCCCCCCCCCCCTCCCCCCCCCCCCCCCCCCAATTTAGAAAAAAAAAAAAAAATCCCCAACAGGATCAGTTGTGAAAGGAAGGGGAAGACCCGGAGCCGAGAGGAGGCGGTGGCTGCGAGCGCTGCGGAGCCGGGCTACAGCCGCTCGCCTGCCCCATGAATGGGTTACTACAGCCCGGGCCGCGGAAGGCGGAGCCGCGGCCCGATAAGGAGCCTCATTTGCATGGACGCTCGGGATTGGCCGGCGCTGGGCAGGCCCGGCCGACGTCCTCTGGCGGCGCGCGCCCCGCTCGGCGTTGCCTGGAGTCCGCGAGGTGAAAGGGGACAGAAAGCTGCGGGCCCTGGGTCCTAGCCCGAACCCCATGTGCGTGCGTGAGATGAGGGCCCGCAAATCCTGCACTGAAGCGGGGTAGCCCGGCCCTGCCGGCTGGTATGCGCCGGCTCAGTCTGGTCGCGGGAGCGGAGGCTTCCATGGATTCTGCCTCTAAATGCAGATTTTTGTAGCCTGCGGGAGGCGTATTCATTCCCGGGGCTTGGGTTCTGTGTGCAGGTTTGTGAAGAAGCGGAGTGTGACCGCATGTACTTATGTTTGGTGCAAACGTTCCCGAGAGCAGCCCAGTTTCCCTGGACGGCTCTCCCAAGTCTCCTGGAGTTACTTGGTGACACTCAGGTTTTGTGTGCGGTTTACAAGTTGAGAGACAAGGATATATGAATGAAGGCGGGGGTGGGGACGAACAAGGCTCAAGTGCTATTCAAATAAACAGAGTGTCGGGGGAAACGGTCAAAGAGCTAAGGAAAATACGCCCGGGCGGACGCGAGCGGGAGTTGCACCCGTGCAGATGAGAGGTTGCTGACAGATCGTGGCAGGCTGAGTGCTAGAGCTGCCCTGCCTTGTCCCGGGAGCCCCCGCCTGTCCCCAGTACCCCTACCCCCCGCCCAGTTCCCGAAACCCGGGGGAGCCAGCAGAGGAGCTGCTGGGAGGCAGCGGGGGAGTCGCGGAAACTTTGCCCAAGGCGCGCGGTCGCCGCGGTGCTGGCCGCGGGCTGATGATGGCCGGGAGACGGCTGCAGCTCCGCTAAACAGCTGAAACTCTAGGCGGCTTTTTAACTACGCCGGGCAGCTCGCAGTGCCTATTAAAACTCCTCCTGGCTGGGTGTTATTTTCTTGCTTCTCCTTTTGTATTCTGATCTGCGCATAGATCTGCTACTGAAATCTAGAACACCAGCGCGAAAACAGATTTGAAGACAATGAATGCAAATCTGTGCTCAAAGACCATCTGCCGTGGAGGAGACAAATCAGCTGTTCCGCAGTTCGAGCGACTGTGCCCGAGCCTCCCGGCCTCATTACCGAGAGGGCCTTGGCGAAAGCCTGGATTTCATTGAGGAGACTTTCCCCCCCACTTAGGACTCAAATTTGAGTGTGAATTGACTCCCGACCAGATCCCATAGGTGTGTAGGTGAGCGCTCACAAATGAACTGCGAGAGTTTGCCGCTAGAGGACACAGCGCCTTACAACTTGTTTGCCTGGGCGGACAGGAAGCTCGCACTTTCAGAAATGCCGCTCTCCTGAGAAAGGGACGGATCCGCGCCTCCACTCTACCCCTGGGGCAAACCGCGACCTGACTGCGGGGACGGATAGCGCTCAGGAAGCGCATGTCTTTACTGCGGAGATTCTCTTGAAAACCGATGGGGAGGAGGAGAGGGTGCCCTGACCCTCTTTACACAAACCCGGATCCTGGGATTGGGGAGGTTGATGGTGGGGGTAGAGGGCGTAGAGACCGTGAAGTCCCCGCCTCTGGGTTGTGTAGACTGTGGCACCCCGACTCCAGGGCTCTGGATTGGCCTCATTGGACAAGAGGGGCAGAGGGAGCCATTAGGGCAACTGGGCATAAGAATATGGAACGGGACTGTTGTAAAAGCCAAGTAAGATAGTTGTCCAAAGAAGGAAGAAGGAGGGTGGGAGAAAAATTGGTAGGATGAAACTTACTACCTTGTTTCAGCTAGGCAATTCTCTATTGTATGCAGATTTTACCGGTAATTTCAGTCCCTGCAAAAACTAACCGCCCGGAGCCTTCTACCCCGGCCCCACTCTCTTTGTAAATCTCTCTGAACCTCAAGTAACCACCTACCCCCATCCTCATCCTCGGGCTGTGCCCGGCGGAGCCAATGGGCTCCTTGGCGGAGAGTGTTGAACAGCCCGTGAACCCCTCAAGACGTGTCGAGGAGCCCGGCGATTTTTGTTTTTCAGGGGGCCTCTGACCTGCAGCATCTCGTACCAGGAGAGGTACGGGGCGCAGCCCCGAGGGGCCGCGAGGCAGCCGTGGGCCCGGGCCTGGCCCGGACCGTCTTCCCCTCGGGCCCGTGTTGGCTGGGGTTAAAGGGCAGACCCGGGGTCGAGGACACTGGCTCTCCTCTCCCGCAACAGCTGCTACCCAAACTTATGCCCCTCAGGAAGCGAATGAATGGGTTCTTTCTCCCGGGTCCCTGCTGCCCGCCCCAGACCAGACCCACCGCACCCCACCTCCCAGAGAGGAGTTCAGAGGCCGTGGTGCTCTCCCGGGTGGCAGTTTAAAACACCGTGGCCCCGTAACTATGACCTGGGTGTAGCGGGGAGCCGCACTGCTCCTCGCGGGCTCGACTACCGCACTGGGCGATCGGGGCGAACGGCCGCCAAGATGCCGCGGGCCCTGTGGGCTTGGAGCCGTGGACGCCGAAGTTCCCTCCAGGCTGGGACGGAGTTCCCTGGCTAGCGCCGGGAGGGGGGTGGAGGGGGCCAGGAATGGGGGAGCAGCCTTGGGCCCCGCAAGGCGGCGCTTCGGCCTTGGCAGAGCAGGGAGCGTCTCTGCCCCCCGAGTTGGGTTTAATTAGCTTCGTGTGGGTATTCGGGAGGGGTGGGCGCACAGTCGGCCACGCGCGCCTTGGAGGAATGCGGTTTAGTGACGGAGTGAGCGGCGGTGGCTGCGCCTGGAGAGTCTCTCGCCTCTCTCTCGCCTCCGGCGACCCCCGAACAAACCTTTTCGAACACGCCACACAAAACCCGCCCTGAGCCGCACGGGGGCCCGACAGGCGCAGCTGCGGCCCGGGGAAAGCCCGGCCCGGCGGGGGTGAGGCGCCCGCGCGCGCCTCCCGGGCTCCGGCCCGCCAGCTTCGTTCCGCCCCTGGCCGGGGTCGAGAAAATCCGAGATGAACATTATTAAAATGCTTCCTGACCATCTAGTTACATAAAACCGAGGCAGGGGTGGTGTTATTCCGTCTTTTACCCTGTCCCCTCCTTTGTTCCCTCTTCCCAATGAACCCCCGGGTATTTTCCCCCGTTCATGTTTCACATCTGCATCTCGGTGCGCTATGTTCAATTTCCTCCCGATTGGCTGTAAGGCCCCTTTCCCCAGTCTCTCGGTCCAGTCTCCTGGGCGCCGCGTCTCTCCTCCGGGTCAGAGGTTCGAGCTTTTTCTTAGAAAATTGCTCTCTGGGCCTAGTTCTCGTCCAGCATGGCCCTGAGGTGAAATCGGAGGTGTGAGAACGCTTCCCTCCCACAGCCCGACCTCTACCCCCAGCCCCAGACACACACGCGGCGCCTGGGTCTAAGCAACCCGACGGACAGAGCCTGACTAGTACCCAGGGAATGAGATCCACAGGGACAGTCGGTCTGGGTTTGATAAATGAAGTAAGTAGCAGTCTCTTCGGACGTGAATTTTCAAATTGGTTTGTTTTAGTTGGCACCTTTGATTTTTATTTGTCCGAGTAGAAATAGTTTTGTCACCATCTGAGAACCCTGACGAATATTTAGCTCACAGTGCTTCGTGAAATAATCTTTTTAAATATCCAACTCTCCTCCCTCCCACTTCAAATTTCAACTTTACATCAGTGAAATATCCAAATCCACTAACTCCATTCCAAATGTTTTACTGAAATTGGACTTGAATGCTCCATAAATGAGAATTTCCGGGGACGGTGGAGGGGGGCGGGGAAACTACGGTATTCACAAATGTACTACAAATATTTCACGAGGACTCCACCATCCATACCGAACAGAGCCCTTTTAGGACAATTTAGTAAGAATTTAGATCCTCTTCCTGATTTGCTTTTACATACTGAAGGAGATTTTACATACTGAAGAGCTACAGAAATACGGAGGCGTCGAAAAACACTTTCTAGACCCACGATGTGCCACCCAGGCCGGTCAAAATGGACTGAGGGAGCCAGAGTTGGTTCTATCCTAACAACCGACAACTCCAGAATATCTCTTCCTCCTCTCTCTCCTCTTTTTCTTCCTCTTCTTTTCTCTCCCGCTCCCTCTCCCCCCTCAGAAATACCCATCCCTCCCATTTCCTTGTTCCGGGAATACCGAGAGAGCGAGGGAGCCGAGGCAGAGATGCGGGAAGGTCAAGAGAACAAATGTTTGGAGCGGCGGCCGCGTTTGGGCGTTCGGAGCGTGGACATCGGAGCAGAGCCCGCGGTGTGTGTGTGTGTTGGGGGACAGGTGATCCGTAGGGAGAGCAGTGTTGGTGCGGCCTCCACGCGCACCTGGGGACCTGATTTCCTGGGTACGTTGGGTGGCGTGCTCGTCAAGCCCCGGGTTTGGGCTGTGCTGGGGTAAACCGGCCGGTTGCAGTCCCTTCCAGTAAGCTGCACACCAAGGCGGTGGCATCTCCGTCACCGCGGTGTTAAGGCGCAGCGATCCAGGGGCGAATTGACCCTCACTAAGAGGCCCAATCGAGCAAGTGTCCACGCAGAATAGGGCTGAGAGGAAGGCACAAACGAACGGAGGCAGGACGTTTACCCAACACTGCCTGGGATCCAGGCAGTGCCACGCATTTTCTCACCCTTAAACTTGACAGCCACACTTGAACTGAGACCTATTTGCCCCCATTTTACAGTTGAATGAAATGAGGA